ATTATTATGTCAGGTCCAGACCTGAAATCAGCTTTGTTGAGAACCCTAATACATCGACTAAATAATAATATGGACATTGGCTGTCAGCATCAGAGCTAATATTCTAAATAAAGTGTGAAGAGTGTGAAATGTATTTTATTCAAAAAGATGTTTTTCCTACTATCAATTGTGGTGCACGTAACACAATCCGTCGAACGGGATATAGTGTATGAAAAGTGTATCTCGATCTGGACCCTAAAATACATTTTATCTTGACCGGAATATTGTTAGAACGTCTTAGCGCACTAAATAAACTGACGACCAGGACTAACCCCCGATCAAGATTAAAAATATAGATAGGTATCAACAGGTATTAAAAAATACCTGAGATATATTTTTGATTCCTGCTTTGTAAATATTTAAGAGAAGAAAGACGGCATAACATTTTGCATTTCACAAACCTCGCGCCGAAGGCAAGACCATACTCGGGGGTCCAGAAGCAATTTTGAAATCTAGACCCTCTGAAACGCTATTGCCTGCATTTTAAGGGGCAAATGTTGCTGACACATTTTTTTCGAGGAGGCCATCGTGCATCTGACCCCCCCCCCCGTGCCATCGCCATTGACAGTATTCTTACTTGTTTTGATAAGCGCACAGTAATTGTATTATTCGTTGCACGTATTCAATACATTGTTGGGTCTGTACTAGCTCATTTGCATATGTGACTACGATTGCCGAATACTCAAGTCGGTCGTTTAGAACCAATACAATATAGGGCATGTCATATTATATATTCACTCCTGTACCAGCGCGTTGTAAACCACAGACATGTCCTGGAAGGGAAATACATTGTTGTCAGTCGATTACAGCGTCTGCTTACCTGTTTACTTCCAAACAGTGTGCCTAGATAAAACACAGCGATCACAACAACCAATAGAACGACAGCAATGATGACGAGAGCAGCCATAATGCGATGCTTGAGTCAGATAATAGACAGAATCAGAATCACGACTTCTGCCACGAAGCGATGACGTCACTAAATAGTTGAACCCCAAGCGAGGTCATTTCTTCGATAGAAGATTATTCCATCTTAGAAACTTAAAAACGCTAGCCTTCGTAAAGTTAGAACAAGTAACATACTTGATAATGGAATACCAATAATGGCAATAAATCAGAAATATACTGCTTGGATAATGGCGAACTATTACAAGGGGTAGATGGGTCATAGACGAGGTCATGGTAGGATGGCGGAAGTCACATTGGTTAAAGTACAGTCCCTCTAGGATCGTGATTAAATGCAATATCCAGCATGTGAGTATCACTGAACAAACAACTGAAGGCATGTAGTTTTATGCTATAAAAACAGACGCCAAAATAACTTACAAAGATAGTGTACACGCATGACACAACCTACTTACACAATTTATGACAACGTTATATTAATGGACTATGCTAAAAGCAAATCAAAACAACGTGTATCGTTTCCCGCTGGTGCTTTTGAATGATATAAAATGCTTAACACGTATTACGACAATCAAAGAAATAAAAACGCTGAATGATAAATGTCGTCGAAATTGTCGACCCGGTAAATGAATATCGTTAATAAACAACAGACAACGACGTGGGTCTGTAGCGTAATTTGCTACGCCACTGTATTTCTCAATGAAACACGTCGTTTGAGTTGAGTTGTTACGAGTTGCATAGTTTCTTTGTTATCATTATATCTCTCCTGCACATCCCTTTAATTGGCTCTGTAAGGGTTCTATTTTCGGTAACGGATTTTTTGTCCGTGGTACGAGTTCTACGTACTACATCATCCTGGAAGCAAAGGCGTAAAGTCCATTACATTGATAGACTTTATGAATCTGACATCGGACAGAAGTTTTCCAACAAGTTGAGAAGTCATTTCAAAAAATTATTTCTGTGCTCTAGAACATGATGGAGATAGAGAAGAGCAAGATGATGTTGAAGTTACCTGGGTAAACATAGGAAAAGCATACAAGGATGCAGCTGAGAAAGGACAGGAGAAGAACAATGAATGGATTACCCCAGAGACTTTTAAGAATATAGAATAAAATTAGGAAAGCAAAAGATAATTTGTCTAGTGCCAAATCAATTGACGTTCAGTTAAATTATATTCCTATTTTTGAATGGCTGGCATATCTGGTGTAATTGCTTAGAATGGTATGAAAATTGGATAAATCGCCCTGTCATTGGTAGTTCCGGAAATTTTAAGTGACAAGCACAAATAACAGATTATACTCATGTGTTTATTCTATTGACATTATTGATAAAGCCATTTTAATATTTTGTTATTAAGCATATTTTATATCATAAGCATATTTTTAATCTGTAAAAATGCTTAGGCATATATAAAAACTGATATTGTTTAAAATGGCTGATAATATAATTAATACAATAAACTAGTACTCACATAGTGTGGTATATTAGCATACAGTTAAAAACAGAATTGTTCATACCCCAACTGAAATTTGGAAAACGACAGGTGGGTACAGAATATTTTGGCCGTGGTTGGATACTTGAAAGGTAAAAATTCTGAATGAGTTTTGTACAACCTCATTTGCATAACAAAAAAGCATATTACTTTATTTGTATTTTGACTCACTCAAAATTATTCACACCCTTTGTTAAAGCATGGCATTTGGCCATATGCATCTGATATGCACATGCTTCAGACAATCTGCATGTTGTTTTGTTCACATGTAAAGATGTGTAGGCCAGTCTGAATAATTTCCAAGGTGGTAAGTGAGTTCTGGAATGCCATTGTTCTAAAGTATAAGATCAAGTGCAATAATGAAATCTTCCTCAGTTGTTATGATCATGGCGAAAACAAAGGAACTCAGCAATGACCTCTGCATGAGCATTGTGAATGCCCACAAAGATGGGAAAGGCTATAAAGCCATTTTCAAACTCTTCAGAGTGCTGGTACCCACTGTACAGTCCATTGTCCAAAAGTAAAAGAAGTTCAATACAGTGAAAAACATTGGCATTTGTCCGGACCCACGTCGGGACCCACTCGGCTCGTGCAGAAATCACGCTGTCGGCTTAGAAGATTCGATTTTTTGTTTGTTTACGTCAATGTAGCATTGCAAGAAAATACCGGTTGCAGCACATGAATATGCGTCGCCGACGACAGTTTGCATTCATTTCATTCATTACTACTGTATCCGATCATATCTATAGTTATGTGTTCACCACTGATTTTGGTTCGTGCCGAGCGTTCAAGTAGATCTAGACGTGAACGCCACTAATGTGTATTCGAAAGTGACTTGAAATGAAACTTGAAATGACACTTTTTTTCTAACTTTTGAAAGTAATGGTTTTAAGAAACATTAATTGCGTGTTTTAATCATAGGTTAATCAACAGTATGTTTATAAGTTCAGTCACATCAGACAAAACAAATATCACTTGGTGTCACAATGGTAAAACCTCTTTTGTTGTAGAAGTAACACACGTGATTATAAACAATGTATTAACAAACAAGTGTGAGCTCTCTTGGCTGAGTTCAAGTGCAGCCCCTTACACGTTTTTTTTTTCCAAAACATAAAATATGACGGAACTTCGTTCTATCATAGCCCAACTAGACTTTTTTTTATATTTTTGAAATGTCATAAATTGATCTAATAAAGACATACAAGAAGCGTGATGTATTGGAGTACGTCTTGGGGTACATCAATCTTCAAGCCACGACTGTGTTTGTCGTTGATGGCGGGATCATGACGGGGGAATAATTGTACTTAATTAACGAGCAATTTAAAAGCAAGCTGTACGAGGGCGCTATATACGAATATGGAATAATTTTATTATATTAGCTAATGCACATTTAAATTGTAAACGGTTATACACACCATGTAATGATAAATATTATAAGGCAGTTCTCGGGAAACGTCAAAATAACTGTAATTTACAATGGGCGTACTCTGAGTACATGACGTGGAAGAACACAAGAATACGCCGGAAACCGTTAACGTAATGATCGGTTACCCAGCTGTATATATTGTTTTAGTTTCAACGTAAATTGGCGTATATTTTTGCATTTACGTTTCTTCCGTCCAACTTAATCAGCGGTTATTTAAAAATATACGTTATAAACGTTGAACAGAAATCTGCGGTTTTTCAGAAATTACCGTTGATTTACTTGGACTGAATGGACGACAAACGTAGCATCTCCGGCTGACGGTTACGCGACGAATATGCCACCCCCATAGTCCGACGGTTACGCGACGGTTACGCGGCGGTTTTACTGCATAACCGCTATGTAACCGTTGTGTAACCGTATCGGAAACACGCGATTTCATACCGTGTGAGTTACTAAATTTGAACGTTAAACAAAAATAAAAATATATGTTGTCCGTAACTCGTAGTTCTGTTAATTGTTAGTTGGACATCGAGTTACAATTTGGACGTGATTTTACAAATTGATGATTATAGACATTGATGAATACCAATTACTTGTGAGAAACTGAACAATACAATGCAAAGCGTATGTCACACATTTCACTGTTTCATGGCGCGTGATAAACAATAGACATGTCCTGAAAAGGGAATACGTTGTCAGTCGATTACACTGGCCCCTTACCTGTTTACTTCCAAACAGTGTGCCTAGATTAAAACACAGCGATCACAACAACCAAAATAACCACAGCAATGATGACTAGAGCAGCCATCATGCGATGGTCGAGCCATCAGAATCAGAATCACGGCGCTGTATCTGGCACGAAGTGGTGACGTCACTATGTAGTTGAACTCCAACGATTTGAACCAAAAGGTCATTTCCTCGATAGGCGATTATACCATTTTAAGAAAGTTAAACAACGCCAGCCTAAGTAATATTAGGTCGAATAACGTACTTAAAATAACATCAATAGATCAGAAAAATGCTGATTCGATAATGACGCCGCATTACAAAGGGTCAACATAACTCAGTAGATGGGTCATAGACAAGGTCATGGTATAATGGCGGAAGTCGAAGGTAATTGATTAAAGCACAGCCCGGCACAGTTCTAGAAGCCGTACCTACACACGAATTGGTCACGTCACAAAATACATGACCTTCGATCGGGGTCCTTTGCTCGGTATATAAGAATTGGTATATACAAATTACAATAAAGATACTTAAGGTAGCAGAATAGTTTTTTGGGCACTTTTCACATTTTTTTTTGAAAATCACACGAATAGCTCCCGAAGGCATGCTACATACATGGGTGTATTTATTTTATTGAAAAAAAATATCGTGTACAAGTAAACTGATTTTTTTCTAGTGTGCAAACAAATGGCCAAGTTTTTGTTTATCCAGTGTACACCCAACTAGTGCATCTCATTAATATGCATGGTTTACAAACATAACTGAACTGAGGGTAAATAGTTTTAAGTTGGGCCACTTTCTTTATTTGCTATTTACAAACAACTGATAAGATATCTGTTTGTAGTTTACACACAGCTGATAAGATGTGTGCACTGCTGCCTTTCTAGACAGGAAGTACAGCAAAGACAAAACAATCGCTTTAGAAACAACAAATTTTGAATAATCAAAAAAGTACATGAATGTACCACTTCAATGTAATTATATGTTAACAGAATAAAAACTTACAAAAAAATTTCTGTAATATTTTTTTCTTGGCTTTGTCATTGAAAAGTGTCTGACCACGGGGTTACTTTCTTAGTCCAGAAGTAATGCAGTTACATTGGGAGGGGGCTCCCTTTTACAAAATATGGTTGCAAACAATAAAATACGGCCATCTGTGGTGGCTATGCATTGCATGTAAATTCAGGCCACAAAATACATGTAAGGGTTGATCAATGATAAGAATATGCTTGGACCTGGTTTATATAATCCATTTTTCAGAGGAGTTTTCACCAAGTAGCATACTTGCATGCTTAAGGTTTTTCTAAATTCGTAAATTATGTTACATGTAATAAATCTGTCTAATAAATACTTGGTTGTTTTATCTAATGTTCTCATGCGAACAAAATGCACGGCAACGAAATAG